AGTTAAGCCGTATGGATTGACATCGGTCCTTTCCAGCAACTGGCAAACAATATTCATATCGTTACACTGAATTGCAAGATGCAGGGGTGAACAATCTTCAGCATCTTTGGTGTTGATTTTGGTGCTTGCACGAGCAAGCAGCAGTCCCACGACGTCGTCTCTCCCTAGCATGATTGCATAATGCAACGCGGTCCGTTTTTGGGGCCCGCTTGGTGCGTTGACATCAATGTTATTACTCTGCAATAGTCTCTTTGTTGTGTCCACGTCTCCGTTTTCGATTGCCAGCACAAGGAGTGTTGTGCCGTTGCTGTCAACCGCGTTCACGTCAGAGCCAGCTTGTATCATGGCCTCTATGGCTGGCCGGTCCCTGCTTTCTATGGCTTGGGCAAGTTTGGGCTCATAACGCATCGACGTTGTCAAATCATCACTTTTACTTGAGGCATCATGTAATGCCTGGACGACTACGTCGAGGTTTTTACTAGACGCTACTTCCATCGGGGAAGTGCCATATTTATCTTTCGCCAATGGATCAACACCTTTCACGGAGAGAAGTCGGCTGGCCACGGCCGGGTATCCAGCATGGGCGGCTTGAAATAATGCGCTTTCACCAAGATGATTTCGGCAGTTTACGTCAACATCGCTTTGAGCCAGAAGCAATTCAACGACGTTATAATGCCCGCCAGTCGCTGCTAGCGACAAGGGCGTGTTGCCGTGTTTGTCCCTTGCGTTCACCTTCTGACGACTGAACCTCAGCAAGAGCCTGAGGATTTCTTCGTGGCCTACCTTTGCTGCCCAATGCAGAATGCTTTCTCCAAACATTTGCATAGATTTCGTGTTGAAATTCTCTAATTGTAGTAGTGGTTCATTGAGTTTCCCAGCTTTGTTACCCGAGACGTCCGGCGTGACCAAGTCCCTTTCTAGTAGTAATAGCGCAGCGTATTCGTTTCTAGTTTCTATGGCGTGACTAAGAGCTATCCGTCCAGATGAGTCCGTGATATTTGTATTAACGTCTGGTACCTCGAGAAGTCGTCTCAGTGCATAATTATAGCGGCCGAGAACAGCTTGAATTAACAAGGGTGGCTTTTGCGTCTCATTGTGGATTAAGCCATGGCATCTTTGCTTAAGTAGTAAGTCCAGTGTGGGTTCGTCACCGAGCTTGCTGAAAAGCTCCAATTCTTTGAGCCCTAGTACAAGCTTTTCGTGTCTCAACAACGTCAGAGCTATTTCAAGATTTTTCCGTCTCATAGCGATATCCAGAGCAGATTCACCAGAGTTGTCACGACAGTTGGGGTCCACGTCTTCAAATTGCAACAGTTTCTGGACAAGATGCGGGGGTGCCGTCGCGACGGCTTTGTGCAGATGGAAACTTGTGTCTCGGAAGTCACATTTCCGCTTCTCAAACTGAAGGAGGATTTCAACTGCCTCTCTATGGTCATGGTACAATGCAGCTAGAATAGGATAGCTGAACCTTGCGCCTCCTCCAGTTGAGGCATATGCTTCTCGGCATCCCGTAGCTCTCAGAAGCTGTATGCAATTGTGATCCGCCAGGATATACGTCAACTGCACATCAGAAGAATAGCGGCGAGTCATATGTTTCTCGATCAGATTGTGAGCTTTGATCCAATGCGCTAGGTCAAAGTCTGTCTCAAGAAAATTCTTTTGATCAACATGTGTCCCAGCTTCATTGGCATGGTAAAGAAGGTGACGAGCCGCATAGTCAAGAAATGGAAGGTATTTCGTTTCGAAGTCTCGGCGCGCCTTCGCGTCAACGTTGGGCGTATCACGCAATACGGTCATAGACGGAGCGGGTTTATACTGCTTTAGGTACATGTGGCAGCAACGCTTCAAGAGGTCGTGACTCAAGATGGAAAAATCTCCCGCATCTGGCCACAGATCAAGGTATCCTCGATCTCTTATTAAATAGTCGCGCACAGATTCATGAATGAATTGGACGGTTTTCTTCTTTGTCTTGGTGACTTCTGCCAAACCCTTCGACGAGCTCAAGACGAACCGATCAATAGTCTCTTCAGAAATGTTATCTGGCCGGCACTTCTCCAGCTCGTCTTGTTCATCAACAATGCCGGACAAGACGGCATAATAAAATTCGTCGCGCCTCAGCGGCCTATTAGCAAATAGAATCCATTGGATACATACGCGCATGTCTGCAATATTTTCTTCGTCTCTAGTGAGGATATCCTTGAACAGGTCAGCCAACTCTCCTGGAATTTCGGCAAGTCGCTTTCGGACAGCAAAGGCTCGGCCTCGCCATATTTCGCGGTTTAAGATGTCAACCACAAGTACTATCCACATAAAGACACCTTGGGCCTTGCGAATAATCTCATCCTTGACCTCTAGAGTGTATAAGGCAGGATCAGAAGCCAGCTTGTTGTCTATATACTTCTTTAGATCGTCTGCATGGCCAATTTGGTCTTCGAGGATGATTTTGCGATCCTGTGGAATGTTCATGAAGGGATAATGTCGGCTAGAGAAGCAAATCTGTAGGATGTCCCCAGCTTCAAAGGCATGTTGTACAACCTCTTTAAAATATGCAACCATGTCACGGACCTGATCTTCGTCGCATTCGTCAAGAGCGTCGATGTAGCATACCAGTCGTCTGCCTTTTAGCCGAGCGACTGCCTTGTTGAATGTGATTCGGAGCTCATCCATAGTCCATGGACGATGTCTAGCTCCAACACTGGTGTCGTCTAGTACAGACTGCAAATCGGGTTGGGCATCAAGAAGTTGATGAAGCAGAGATCGATGCATGCCCAAGGTCGACCTTTCCAACAAGTCACCGCGAGCATGGAAAAAGAAATAGAGAAGGGTGACCGTACTACCCAGTTGCTGCTCTGCTTGGGTGTATGCGAACTTCATCAGCGTTGACTTGCCAGCTCCTGGCTTTCCATTGATCCACAAAAGCCTGTGATGCAAAACATGGTCGTTTGCTTTCAGCCACTCAAGATACTTTGAGCAATTCAGGAGCCATTTACATGTTTTGGCGTAGGCTGGTCTGATAGTCTCATATCGAAACTTCATCTGTTCGAAACCAATCGTGTCCAGCAATTTCGTCCTTCGCTCCAACATCGGCTCAATCACTATAAAGGCAAGTTGTCGGTGACAGCACTAAAAGAAATTCTGTGATGAATTGGCTTACCTGAAATGACGGGTTTCAAGTTTGGTGGGATGACAATTTGGGGGGCACGAACTGGTAGGGCTAAGACAAGTTCTTTGGCGTATGCTGCAGCAGACATGGCGGCATATCTCTGCCATAATTTAGATTTATGAGAATCCGCGTAATCCGATATGCCACGGATGGCCATGCATCGAAAACTGTCACCTAAACCAGCAGCTTCCATCTCAAAACAAAGAACGCCATGGCTGTGTGCTAGCTGATCCCTAGTCCTGGCATCTCTCATGAGCTGGTTCGACGAGGCGATGACCCCATGATGTACGTATGGCGTAGATGTTTCACGATCCGGTCGATCAACGAGCCTCGACTTTTCACACCGGTCGCAAATCCCATCCGGTCCTTGGTGTTCGTATTCACTGTCGAATAAGAAATCTTGGGCAGAATCGGGCTTGGTAAACAGCGGGCTAGCCGAACATTGCTGCAGCATGCCAGAGAGAATATTAGAGAAAACGCCACGGCCGATCTCATGACGTGCACGTAGCATCCCGACAGTTGTCATGAGCTCTGGCAGCGGGTCGCAGGAAACTCTCGTTCGATCAAGGCCACCCAGTCTAATTTTACCAAAGTCACATTGCCAAATTGCTTCGCCCACGACGACATCTCCAAGACGAACATCAACTCGGGTTGGAACACCACCTCCTACTCCGACCATGAGCCAGATTCGTATGTGCTGAAAGGTGAGGTGAACATTGCTAGCTACAATGGCAGCATTGTTAGTTCCAGGTCTATTCGATGGCAGACATGCCAAGACCACGTTGTGCTTCCCCAAACTACCAAGCAAGTAAGCATTGCCGTCATTTGGATGTTGCTGTAACAAGTCTGGATGTTTCCGGTCAAGGGCTACCTCGGCGGCAGCCATCTCAATCGGCAGCGCCGAAATCCATACAATGGTGTAGTCATTGCTGTTTGGCCTGTTTCCGTCTTGGTCCTCGTGGTGGTGGTACGCGGCGGTTGAATCATCCACATTGTCATTCAATTTACGTCGTTTATTTCTGTCCGGTTCCTCGGTGGAGTCAGTGCCATTTGCACAGTGTGGTGGCAATAAGGCTTCACTCATGTTCTAGGACTTGATCCTACGTTATTGGCTGAGTTATGATGCCTCGACAACAGGCTACGGGAGAGCCAAGTCCTGTCGGCGCATTTTGCGAGAGCGGCGTAAGAAAGAAAGGAAGGGTTTTTTTTTAGGAGGGGGGGTCGTAGTTCGCCTTGAGCTTGAGTGCTCTGGGGCGGCTGCGCCGCGGAGGCTGCCTTGTTCTGAATGCATGAGGATGGCGGTAGGAATATTGGACATTGAAACATTGGACATCACGCGCAGACGCTAGTAGCAGTGAGGCTGCAGGCGGGTCCAGGCCCTTCGAGGTCCAGATCACCAGACTGCGTTTCGCAACGGCTGAATTGTGACAAACTCGTTAAGAGGCGCTGCATCGACATTACTGCCAGAATAAACTTCCTTGGCTCTTAATTCCTATTTGAGAATGTAGCGTCACATCAATCCATCGACAAAGCAGGTCAGGGCCTAAACGTGCATCCTGTTGGTGCTCAGGAATCAGGCCCCAGACTTACCAGCCCTGTGTCCTAGGAAATGCTCTCGTCCTCGATTGTAATCCTGGATTAACGAATGCAAAAGACAAGTAATGACACTTTTTAGGCACTCTGCAGAGCATGGCTCATTTCTATGCACCCAACCAGTTTGTAAATTTCGTGATTTACTAACCACTGTAACCAGAGCGCTATCCTGGCATAAACGACTCAAAGAATGGCAGCATTGAGAAATAGATGTATAATGTAAATTATCGCCGACACTAACCTCGGCAGAGTGCCAGAGTGGTTAATGGGATTGACTCGAAAGTATCAGATTCGTTTGATCACCTAGTAATCAATTGTCTTCGGACGCACAGGTTCGAATCCTGTCTCTGTCGAACTTTTTTTTTTTTTGTAAAACTACACTTGTTGATTGATCTTCTTGTTCTGTTAATGAACCCCGCACACAGTGAATGCTTCTTGTCGCAAATTATTACCTAGTCGTCTTTCGAATTGACTTTAGGGCTGCAAAGTCCCATGGTGATCAGATAGCTATTGGAACCCTGAACAACCGCGCACGAGGGTGAGCAGATGTTGCACGGTATATAGGGGTGATAGATAACACACGCACGAAAAGTGGCCTCTGGGCTATGCCATTTTTTGTGCAAGAGCAGACCAACCAGCCCATCCACACAGGCATCGTCAGCTTCGATTATCTGGTATTCTGTGCCTTTAATACCAATGGCAAGATGACCCAGGCAGTATGTATATATTGAAGCTACTCTCGAGGGCTATATCAAAGAATTTCGTGATAGGGGCATTCACTTTATCCTTGAAGAAGACGGCGATTCTGGCCACGGGCCGGGTCAGACGAATCCCGCTGGAACCTGGAAGGAAGAACATGGCCTACAATACTTTTTAACCTCCCACAAAGCCCGGATTTAAGCCCAATAGAAAATATCTGGCTCTCTGTAACTGAAGAGATAAAAAAAGACCACATTGGTCAGAAGACGTTGTGGGAGCTTGCTAAAGAAGATTGGCGCGATCTATCGCAATAGACTATTAACGGTCGGATTGAATCTATGCCCACACGACTAAAACATGTGATAGAATTGAATGGAAAACGCACAGCATTTGAGTTTATTGAATTAGCTAGCTAATAATATTGCTTGATCGAATTTCGGTTTCCAATGCGATAGTTATGGCCAATTTAATTGAATGTTGTTGTGGTGTGTGGCCACGATAGCCCGTGTTTTTCTTTGACCGCATGCCACGGATTTGAGAACGTATGGGTCACAAGTTGGTATTGAAATCGTGATAAAGTTCGGGCAGTATATTAGGATTTTAATCTTCATCCATCTACCTCAGGCCACTCATTCATCCGACACTTCCCTCGGCATTGTACGTACTCTATTCCGTCAGGTGGCAGTACACCTTAACAATCCTCTGACTGGCGGGTCGGAATGGGCGAAGTAGATCTCCTTTCTCATTTTCTTCCTCATATGTCCATGTGTGAACGTCACTGATTTCCTCGCTTCTATGCGGTGTGGGTGGATTGGTCCACACGTGGGTGACTGCATCGTTGAAGCACTCAATCTGGATTCCGCGCCAGCCCTTGGATGCCATGTCTCGAATCATGCAGTGGGCGAGGTTTTTCATGATCCCTTTACCCTCATAATCGCGTCGAGTGCTCGTGGCATTGCGCGAGATGACCTCACCGAGACCTTTAGCTTCCCAGATCTGTGGATCACGTTTATCCCGCTGCGCAAGGATACCATAAATTTGCCCGAACTCCGGAAGCATCGCTATCAAAGGCTTCATCTTCTCCATGTCCAAATGGTTGAAGTTGTCGTATGCGAGAGCTACTGAGACAAGCGGGAAATCCATTTGCTCAAGGAGTTTGATGCTATCCGCACTCTCGTCTGAGGCATCCCAGTATAACTTGCCTCCCACGGCAGCAGACTCTGGGCTTTTGTATTGGTATTCTTTGTCAAAGACACCAAGTGACAGACCTGACTCAACTTGATGTCTAATGAGATAGTCACCCGCGCTGAAGCAAGCATACAGTCGCTTTGTCAATCCCTCAGGGTACAGAAGTGGCCAAATTGGAGAGTGGAACATGTTGCTATGCATAACGATGGCGCCAGCCCATGCGACATGTTTGGGTTCAAGAACCCGGATTTCATACCGAGAAGGAAGTTCACTCTGAAAAGCCATGGCAGTACTCTGTAATTGGGGACGTTTTCCACAGGTTCAAGTTGGCGTATGAAATAGCTCGAGTGAGGGCCAGAATTTACCACGGAATGACGAAGGGGAAGAGTATTTGACCACACACACGGCAATATCGAAAAACGGACATAGTCACCTACCAAAGGCTTATCCAGCTTACATACCCTGGTAACTACCCAACTACATCTCGTGGAAGCTGTTTTGTGGGGGTGAGGTACGGAGTAGGTATATTTCCCTCCACTCAAATTACTACCCTGGTTTTGGCTGTAAGCGCCAACCAGCAGACTAGAGACTAGCCAATTACTAGCAGCAGTATTTGGACATTATGGGTTTGTCCTTGTCGCCCGCCTTGTAAGGCTGACAAACGGTAACTTCAATTCCGAGGCGCATCTGCAAGTCCCCTCACCAAAGAGAAGGGGAGAAAATTGAGGTTAGACTAGCGAAATGGAGGAATGTCAAGTCATCATCTGGCGGTATTTGCAATGAACTACGCATGTGTGTCAGCAGTTTTTGGGGAGCACGGAGACTTTAGTATATGGAAGAAAACGATAGCAGTTATAAGTATTTATGGCATGCGAGTGCGACAGGCACAAGTAACAGTGGGTTGGCGATACGGACGGGAGATGCTCCATGTGCACTGAGATATTATGCCCTTTATATAGAATAATTGAACATCACTTAACAACGAACCAGCTAGGCGGAGTGCCAGAGTGGTCTAATGGGAATGACTAGAAATCATTTGTCTTCGGACGCACAGGTTCGAATCCTGTCTCCGTCGGTTCATTTTTTTGGCTCTCCACTTCTCACTCCAAGTGTGTGAGGTTCTATTTGCAATTTGACATTCAAAATAGTCCATTTTCTTTTTGAACAATTTGTAGTTTTGCTGCTCAGCACATTTCTCATTTGAAAAGTAAAGGGATAGGAATAGAAAAATACATATAATCAATGTGCCGAGAGATACGCGTCAAGTATTCCGTACCAAGATAGGATTCTAGAATTTAACACGCAGTGCTAGGGAGTTATGTCTTTGCTCCACCAATTTAACGATTCTGAAGCACAGGTGTTATGTTTTATGATTTATATCAAGATCGGATCTGACCAAAATTTCAGTGCGATAAAAACTCTGCGAAATAGGTAAAGCTATATTGTCTCCCATTTTAGTTGGCGCGAAACAAGAGCGACCATTAGTTGCTTAGTGTTACTGTGTGAAACCCTCCAGAATTTAGTGTTGTCATGAGAATAGTGTGGCATAAATTTTTTTTTTTCAGCCCACGCAGAAAGGGCTCTATGATAGATTCTCATATGACAATTAGATCATCATTGCAATTTACCAATAGCATGCGTCATACCTCTAAATGTGTTTATTGCGAGAGCCCCCGCTACGATTTGCGGGCTATCCGTGTGATAGAACAGGGTAGCCAGCATAGTAGGCACGGCCTGAGATAGTTCCTCTCGTAAGTTGTCGGTCACGGCTGGCGGTAGGAGACAGAATTGGCGTCTGACCTTTGACCCACGGTTTCTATAACCCCCAATTTTTTTCACACCTCTCGTGGAATTGAACTGGATAAATAATCCATGCGCAATATTGCAGTTCCATTTCAAACCTAACATGATGATGTGGGGCTCGGGTTGACATGGACGTTAACTTGGCCAATGAGGGGCTGGTTTGCATCCCCACCCACCATATGATGCCCGCAATTTACGACGCTTTTCAGGGCTCAACCCACGATAACCGTCTAATATTCAATAAGGTCAAAATTTTTCATCAAAATCCTAGGCGGAGTGTCAGAGTGGTTAATGAGTGAGACTAGAAATCTCATGGCTTCGGCCGCGCAGGTTCGAATCCTGTCTCCGTCGTCCTTTTTTGCCAATTGCTCCAAACTTTTGGCCGTCTTCGATCTCTGTTGGTTCAGCTGTGAGTGCTGCGCAGGTTGGCTGCCTGCAAGCGTGTTGGCTGCGGTAGCGTGGTATATTTTGCTTTTTTATGTTGAGGTTTCAGTTAAAGCCACGACTGGATGGTAAATGGAAAGGCAACTGATAGGGTAATTTTGTTCACATTGATACCGGCTTGGACAGTGTGTTGGAAACCACAGCAAGAACTAAGCTGGTTGCGAGGTAAGCGCTGAAAGGCTGCGAGATCGTTGGAGACAAGAAGTTGTCACGGCAAACCTAACCATCATCGAATGTATCAGGTTATCGTCTGTGGGAGTGTGTGGTGCGATAGAAATGCAGTGTGAAGGGTTGGTCACACAGCATGGCATGTAAGTCACACCATGATATAAGATTTATGGAATAACATATACACATTAGCCTCGTCCACATTTGCATGTGCCACCGATACACCTTAATGATCATCTCGTAAGACGCTTATTTGCAGTATCCAAGGATATGAAGTAAAAATGCGCTGACAATTTGACAGTCATCCAAGCTTGCATTTATGACATAGCAAGCCGCCTGTGCTGGCAGGAAAGGGGCCCATGCATACTGCAGAATAATCGGATGTGACCAATGCACATCTGCACGCTTGCAACGGATGCAGGGTGCCTCTCTCTTCGTTTAAACCCTACAGATATTTTAATAGCATCGCCGCAAGATCAAGGTCGAGAGAGGTGTATGACCCGACTGACAAAGTTTGCCGCTGCCAGAGGTTTGCTGCCGGATTCGTCCTGATTTCGGGGGCATGAGATTTATGAGCGTCGCTCCGCCCGTTGGCTGCAGTGGTGGACTGCTCTCAGTAGATTGCGTCGTGGTTGGGCGTGTGCGCCCATTGGCAGCTTTTGGACCGCAATGGTGCCGCTGGGTGCCTGAGGCAGAACCTGAATGGCGGGTGCGGGCCAAGAAATACGCAACTGGTCTGAGGAATACGCCACCGGATAGGGGCATTGTAGAAATGCGATGGGCAGGAGATGGTCCCTGCTGCCCTTCCTGCCCCCCCGAACCTCCTGCTCTGAACTTCCGCAGGCAGTCCTGACTTTTTTTTCTGCTACACCGACAAGAGGCTTTTGGCACACTGTACGACGTAATTTAGCTGTTACACGACCGGCCCAAAACCCACAGCCTTGCCTCCAGGCACTGTATATTTCACTGTGCTCATAGGACAAATATTCGCATGGAGCTACAGTGGCAAGACTGGCCGTCTACCTTCGTCGTCTCCTAATTCCCGCACTGT